AAAAAAATAATAAACTATTTATATTAATAATAAATAAGATCTATAATAACTTATTAATACTATATATATTTTTTACTATTCGAATATCTCGCGATCTTCGTATATTAGTTAATAAATTATATTTCTATAACTTAGAAAAGAAATATAAAAGATATTATAGTTTTAATTATCTTATTTAGATTAATAGTATTAATAAGATTAGTTTTAAGAAGATAAAATATAAGCTATTTACGAAATATTACGATTATCTCGATATTTTCGATAGAGCTAAAATAAATATACTTTTCTTATATTATTTTTATAATTATAAGCTAAAATTTAATAATAGCTTCGATAAAACGAAATTTTCGAAAAGTAGAATCTATTTAATATTAAAATATAAATTAAAATAGATAAAGAAGTATTTAGACGAATATTTAAAGAAGGAATTTATAATATTAAGTTATATATTATTTATCTTATTTATTCTATTCGCGGAAAAGTCGAATAAAGAATTACGTTTTTATATAAACTATCGAAAGCTAAACGCTATTACTAAAAGAAATCGATATCTAATTCTATTAATAGATAAGATTTTAATAAAAATCTAAAAATATAAATATCTTACTCGATTAAATATTATAGTTATATTTAATAAACTATATATATATCTCGATAGCGAGAATTTTACTACTTTTATTATCTTTCTTAAAGTATATAAATATTAAATCCTCTCCTTCGATCTAATTAACGGCCCAGCTATATATTAATAATATATAAATAATATTCTATTCGAGTATCTAAATAACTTCTATTAGATCTATTTTAATAATATACTTATTTATAATAAGATAAAAAAGAAATATATTTAATACGTTAGATAAATTCTCTAGAAATTAAAGAATATCGGTCTTTAGATAAATATCCTTAAGTGCGAATTTCATATTTAGAAAATTAAATTTTTAGGCTTACTAATATCTATAGACGAGTTATAAATAAATTCTATTAAGATTTAGATTATTATCGAGTAAACTATATCTATTAACCTTAAAGAGATATAAACTTTTATTAGATTTTATAATTTTTATTAATAATTTATTAGAGACTTTTTTAAAATAATTAAATCTATAATAAAATTTATAATAAAAGAGATTATATTTAATTGGTTCTTAGTATATTAAGAGACCTTCTATTTTTTAAAAGTCGTCGTTATTAAAGCTTTAATTCTACGTTATTTTAATAGAATAAAAAAGATTATTCTAGAGATTAACTCTTTCGACTACGTTAACGAAGATATTTTTTCTTAATACGATAATAAAGGAGTATTTTACTCGATAGTCTTCTATAATAAAAATCTTATCTTAGTTAAATATAACTATTAGATCTATAATAAAAAATTACTAATTATTATTTACTATTTTAAATATTAGCGTCTTAAATTAAAATGTACTAATATCTCTATTAAGATCTTTATAAACTATAAAGACTTAATATACTTTATTAAAGAAAGAGACCTTAGTCGTCGCTAAGCTCGCTATTTAAATATATTATTTAAATTTAATATAAAGATTATTTATCGATCTAAATCTTAGAATATTAAGGTCGATATATTTATATAAATAACTAGATATAAACTAATTAATTTTAAGAACGAATAATTACGTTAATAGTATTAAATAATTCTTATTTTTAATTAATTAAAATTAGATAGCGAATATATCGATATATATATAATTAATAATCTTATCTATTATAAGATAGTAGAGGTTAATAAAAAAGATAACTATTATATAAAAATTCGTAACGCTATCGCCGAAGATAAGAATAAGTTTTAAGAAATTACTCTTAATAAGTACTTTATATAGAATAGAGTACTTTATTATAAAAATCGTTTATAAATATTCGATAATATATATATTAATATTATTTAAGAGATATACGATTAACTATTTTACGATTATTTTAAAATAATATAAATTTATAAACTATTTAAAAGAAAATATTATTAGCGAGAAATAAGGGCGATAATAGCTATCTATATCTAGAATTACTATATCTATTAAAGAACTAAAATATCTCGTAATCGAGAATATAGTTTATTATAATTTCTATTAATTTTATAAAAACGATAATAAGATATTAATATATATAAAAGAATAAAATAGGGCTAAACTAGAAAACCTTGAATTTATATATATAGTTAATTATTAATTCGTTAGATCTACGCTTTTTAGTTAGATATCGCGAATAAATAAATTAGCGTTCGTAATTATTAAAATCCCCTTCTTTATATCTCCCTTATTAAAAAAATAGATATATATTATTAATATATAGAATAACTTTTTTATTTTCTATTAAAATTTTGAGATTTTTTTTTAAAATTTTAAAGCGCTGTTTATGCTTTCTAAATTGTTAAGAATTCTAAAGTTAAGTCTTATAATTATTAAAGTCAAGGAATTCAAATATCGCTTATCAAAGTTCGCTTACCAAAGATCGCGGACAGCCGGATAGCCCTGATTAAAAAATAGATATACATTATTTGATTTTAGAATAACTTTTTTATTTTCTATTAAAATTTTGAGATTTCTTTTTAAACTTATAAAATCAAATATGGGCTTTTAGATAAATAAATAATTATTAAATTTAGTCTTATAAATATCTAAAGGTAAGGAATTTAAATATCGTCTATCAAAAGTTCGCTCACCAAATTTACTCGACAGCTCTAATTAAAAAAAATGATTATGAATTTAATTTATAGGCCTTTACTCGTATCGATTAACTTCGTTATAGACTTATCTATATTCGACGACTATAACGCTATTTAGATAGTAATCGATTAATTTACTAAGAAACGTTATTACGTAGTTTATTTCGATATCGATAAAAATATTATTACTAAAAAGATAGTTAACTTACTACTTAAAGAAGTATTTCGTCTATACGATTTATCGATCTTAATAATATTAGATCGAGACTCTTAATTTATAGTTATTATATAGAAATTCTTTTATAAGCGATTAAATATTATAGTTAAGCTATTAATAGTCTTTTACTCTAAAATCGATAAATAGACTAAGCGAGTAAATTAGAATATAAAGTGTTATCTTTAAATATACTATAATTATATATAGAATAACTATATAAAATAACTATTAATTATTAAGTTATTAATAATAATACTATCTTAGCGATTATTAATATCTTATCTTTTCTTATAAATAAGAGATTTTACTTTTAAATAAGTTTTAGCTCGAATATTATCGATTATAAGATTATTTATAAGCGTCTTAATATTACTTAGATAGAGAATATTACGAATTATATAAAGTAGATTTTTAAGTATATTTAAAGTAATATAGATTATATTTAAAAGACTATAATTATATAAGTTAATAAATATTAATAAAAGATTATCTTTTAAATAGATAATAAGATCTTTCTAAGTAGTAAGAATATTATTTCTAATCGCCTTTCTTATAAATTAAATTATAAGAGACTTAATTTATTTAAGATTATAGATCTTATAGAAATCTTATATTATCTAGAACTTCTTTTAAATATAAGAATTCACGACGTTTTCTATCTTAGTCTCTTAAGTCTTATAATAAATAATCTCTTACTAGAATAAATAAACTCTCTATCGAAATATATTACTATTAATAATTAAACTAAATAGATTATTAAAGAAATACTTAACTCTAAATTAATCTATAGTTATTTTAAGTATAAAGTTAAGTAAGAAGACTTCGATAATAATTCTATTTAATATAATATAAATAGTAGTAAATTTAAGATTTATTAAAATTTAGCGAATAACTTTTATAAGAGATATTTCGAAATATCTTATCTTTAAGAGATTAATTTATAAGATAAAATCTTTAATAGCGAAAAAAGTCTCTAAGTCGAAATTATCTCGAATATATTACTTTTAATTAAATTAAAATTATTTAATATCTTCGCTATAGTCTTATTTTTTTATATTCGCGAAGATCTATATTACTTAATAATAACTTTATATTAAACTTATTAAATAGATTTTTCTTATTAATAAATACTTAAATATTCTTTAAAGCTATAATATATTATTTATAGATCTTACTATCGTCGTTAATAATCTTAATTATTATCGACTAAATAATATTTTATAAAGAAACTTATAAATATCGAATTAAAGTTTTTAGCGCTTACGACTCGATTCGATTCGATTCGATTTAGAAGCCCTCGATTAATTATATCGCGCTATTTTATAAATCTTTTATCCGCTTAAATATAGATTCGAAAATTATTACTATTTACCTCTACGCCTATAAATACTATTTTTATTATACTATATTAATTTCCTTCTAGCTAAGCTTTTTATATATACTTATATCTTAATTAGCGACGTCGCTAAAGCGTAAATATAAAGAGCTACTATTATCTTTAATATCTCTTATAAAGAAAGATACGATACTGTAAATCCCGAATACAATTATTTCTTTACTACTTTTACTATTTTTTAGACGTCAAGCATATATATATATTTATTTTTCTATCTTTCCACTTATTAATTATGGAATATGATTTTATAAAGAAAGAGAATAATGTTACGAGCGTACCCTACATCCTTGACACACCACTTAGCCCTCTTACCTATTCAGGCCTAGCGTGTCTTGGCAGAGGCATCCATCTACTACTTAATGCCTTTCTTCTATCTATATAGTTCGATATCTTAGTTATCTTATTTAATATATCTATATTAATATTGCATCTGTACCGGTCCTGACAACAAGTCAGTCTGCTATGCAGACATTCGATTCCAGCTGGCTACGGCCACTCATTATTAAAATTTTCAGCAAACACAAGAGCAGAGTAGAGGAAAAGGCCAACGCTGAGTGCGTGCGTCCGAGAGTTTCAGCATTTGGGCCTACAGGGCAGGCATTCAATATTCAGCAGTTGATTCTTACATGTAGTCGACTCTTTCATGGCACAGAGGGCCGGCGGTACTACTCGGTGATTTTGCTGCGGGATTAACAGCAGCAATGGTCAAAAAAAGGACGAATTTACTCACACTATCGGATGACCAGATAGGCACAGTTGCCCAAGCAGGCATGGAGGTCGCTTGGGGACTTAGCCGTCATCTGGATGACCTGAACAGTGACTGTTTTCTTCAGCTATGCAATTGGCATGCTGCTAAAGCAATCAAGAAGAGGCTAACTCGCGAGGGGTATCCGCTTTACATAAGAAAGCCATTAGCTAATCTGGTGTGGAAGTGGATTCAGTCAGAAACCCTCGAGGATATAGAGCGGAATCGTGGTATTTTGCTTAATCAATTACACCAGAAGAAATAGAACTATTTAATTAGTTTCTATCAACGACAGGAGCATCAATTTATAATAGCCTACACCAAGGAGCAACCGAACCTGGGCTGCAGTTCCACTCAACGAGGCGAGAGTAGTCATCCTCTTATCAAGGCCGTTACAAATCGTTACACACCTATTGGTCAGTCGGTAGAAAAGATTGCTGACGAAGTGGACGAGGTTATTTATACTTATGAGTATAAATTAGAGCGTTAGAAGAGGAATAACCCTCGCAGTATCGATGCCAGCAGACCATTCTTCGTAGGCCTACTCGGTCACGTTACCCACCAGGCAATCGAACTCGTCCATGCGGAGTTAGTTGCGGCGAAAAGGTGGGTTTTTGACGTTGAGGATGAAGTGTCCCAAGAACCCGAGGAGAATAAGTGTCAGCAAGCATGCCATCTCCCCAAACGATACAGTTTACCCTGCAAATGTTGGCTGTTTCGCTGTGTTATCGAGGAGATTCCTATCCCCCTTTCTCTTTTACACCCGAGATAGCTTAGCAAGGCGCCGGAAGTTATAGTAGGTTGGGAAATAACTTTCGATCCGACTATTACAACGGCTACCTATGCGGCTCTGACTGGTACTGATGACACTCGGAGCCAGTCCAGTGATCATTCTAGCGGCGACGATGATCGACAACCTGCCCCGGTGCCCACACAGTCGAGGTATGACCGGCGAGGACTGGACTTGCTGGAGGCGGGTGCTTTTTCGGCATATGAGTTTCATAAGAAGATTCCAGAAGGTCATCGCGCTGAAGAGTACACAAGAGAGGTGACGAAGGCTATCCAAAGGGTGAATAGAGTCTATGGGCAAAAGTATAATGAGAAAGCTGCTTTGCCACAATCGTTTTCGGTAGCCAAGAAGGATGATGAGGGCTTGCAATACAAGAAGAACGGAAGCAGACGACGTGCATTGACTGGGCGTGAGGCTGCTGATGCAGAGGACCAAACCTTACGTCGTCAAGTAAGGAAGGACGCGAATGAGAAGAGGGATAATAAGAAATTTGCGGAGCAGGTGCGGAAGGATCAGATGCAGAAGGACAGAGATCAGCAAACCACCTCCGCTTTTTCACAGCTAATCTAGCTTAAGAAAATCAGAGAGCCTTCTTCTTCAACTCACCAGCGGAGAAACGGTGTTTCCGATTTCGACAACACTTTCTCTAACGCGGACGGCGACAGCGACGTTGAGTTTCTAGGCACACAGCCTATCCAGGACCCTAGTCAGCCACCTTCTGAAGGCCGTATCAACACCCCAAGTCCATTACCGTCGAAATCATCCTTAAAGCAGTTCACTAATATCGACGATTTCGATGACTTTCCCCCTCTCTCACCATCACCTCCTACAACAAGGGCTCCACCTCTTATATCATGGCCCGATCGACGTAGTCAGCAGCAAAGGCTTATCATACCGGACGATCCAGAACCCACTCCGTCAGCAACCACCAGAGCCAGCCGAGGTGTAGCCTCGAAGTCATTCAAGCAGGCTAGATTGGAGTCTCAACAAGGCCATGAAGCTAAGGCCAAAGTCGAAAAGCAGGCCAAGAAGGAGGCTGCTGTAGCGAGGAAGAGGGCAAAGGCCATGAAGCCTCGGACGGAGGATGTATCACAGTTAGGGGATGCATTGGCTCGGCTGGGATCCTCGCCGCCACCAACAGGATAGACACCTCATGGCCTGACCCACACTGACATCTCCACCGCACGGTCACTCCGTACCGAGCATGCACCGTACCGAGCATGCATGCTCCCAAATTGGCTTCCAGACAGGCCAAAAAAAGACATGTCTGGAAGCCTGTTTGGGAGCATGTTAGCAGTAACTCGGAATGCGAGAAATGAGTGGAATCTGGGTAGTTTCTTCAGGATAAACTATGCACAGTGCACATGAGAAATTTCATAGACACGAGAAATCAAAACATGAATCTCAATAATAAATTTTTCATCATTAGAAAATGTAGGGGTTTCGTGGATTTGAACTCACAGCCTTCCTAGAATTGTGGTAAAAGTCATCGCTGGAAACCTACACCATGAGGCCTCCCTCACTCGTTAAGGTGTAACGTCCTATTTGGATATTTATACCGTGCAATAAAAGAAATATCGACAATGCACCCACCAGTCAGATATCCACTATGCCAAGGCCTATGCCAAGCCGGGTGGCTGCGGATATAGCCGGTACGCTGCATTAGTATGGACGGGGGACTGTCGGAGGGGGACTGTCCGCAGTCAAGTTGACGAGCAAGGCTCGGAGAAGAATGGAAATTTGAGACCTTCGCTTAATACGCGCCTCCGCAATTCTCATAAAGTCAGCTTACATTTCAGCCTACTGTCGCGGAACAACATTAAGGTGACTCAATTATGTGGGGGTGGAAGAAGATGTTGATTATCCTATGTAGCTGCAGGGCAGATGTGTGCGGAGAAAGGCGCGCTAAGACCTATTGAGGACTAGTGCCGCATTTTGAGGACAGAATACATATGATGGAGAACTCGAATTCTATTTTCGATTCTACTTAAGAAACGTAAGTAGATCGATTATAACTTGCGGATGAGAGATGAGAAGGAGATTTCGATACTCCTCTTTGCAAAACCGTTTGCGGGAGCTCAAGCTTAGCAGCCGCCCTATCAAAATTTTGCCGTAACCACCGCCCATGGCAAGTAGAGGCTAAATTCGTGATAGATAACTGTAGAATAATTGTAGAATCGTTTATATATGAAGCTATGTATAGTTTAATTGCTAAAAAAAACTTGGTGTAGTTTTTTTTAAGTCTTTACAGTCACGCTATAGCTGTCGCTGGTCGTTGTCGCTATGTTACCGCTTATATTAAAATTATACGAGTGTAAATAGATATAGATTATTGAAACGACTCAACACTCGCTACCACTAGTACTTATTCGGTCTAGTTATGAATATATGAAGGTATTCTCTATACATAGATATTCTTCTTTCTTAAACATTATTAAGAATATTATATTTAATAATAGATCTTATTATAGTAGTAACTATATATTTAGATATTTATTAATACTAATTAGTATCAGTATATATAATAGAATAAGGTAGGGCTGAACTAGAAAACCTTGAATTTGTATGTGCAGCCAATCATAAATTCGGGGTTATTACGCCTTTTGGCTAGACTGACTGAGTCAGCCCGCTAGCCCTCCCGAGCTCCCTTATCAAAAATCTGTGTGTAGAAGTTTTACACTCTGAAATAACCAGCTCCCTACGGATACTATTTTTTCATAATTTCGTAAATTGTAGAGCTCAGTGTGCGCTTTCTAACGCTGTAAAAATAATGAAGTTTGGCCTACTATTGGTGGATTAAATGGACATTCAAATATGGTAGTCACACCAAACGCGTCCGGGATCGGATAATAATCCTTCCACCTGTTTGTTTGTGTAACCATTATTCTTCCACCACTCTACCAATTCTACCAATTCCACCAATATGAACACAATCGTCCTCGGTACCCCTCGCGGAAACGTTACTAAACGCTTCAGGCACGTACACCCCTTTTGCCCGCCTCTTAGAGCCCCTACTGACGCCCCCAGGCCACCCCTCGACGAATCCGCTACTGCTGGCAATCGAGGCCGCAAGCGAGCCCAACAGCTACCTACTATTGCTCATAGACGCGTTAGAAAGCCCTCAAAAAGAGCCCGAACGGATTCACAGCCATCGTCCTCCCCTACATACTACTCGACCAGCCGCTCAGTCAACACTACCTACCCTATCAGCTCAGTAATCCACTCAATTAGATCGTCAGCCAGTCACTCAGTCATCCACTCAGTCAGCCACTCAGCTAGCCACTCAGTCTGATACTCTATAAGAGGAGGAGCAAGAGGAGGAACTACAACAGGCAAATGCGGAGAACACTGCGGAGAAACCAAGCGGCAACAAGGCCCCCAGCACTAAGAACACGGCTCAGCTCTCCAAGATCCCACGTCATATGCTCTCCACGGTTCCACATCAAATCATCACTCAGCAAGCGGAGAACACCACTGCAACTTGGCCTGTCATCCCCACTGTATTAATATGGTATATCACTGCAATCACGTCACAAGAGGAGGATCTACTGCGACGATCACAGTCAATTAAGCCTCTGCAGGAGGAACATCGCAAGAGGAGGAACTACAACAGGCAAATGCGGAGAACACTGCGGAGAACACTGCGGAGAAACCAAGCGGCAACAAGGCCACCATCGTCAAGAACACGGCTCAGCTCTCCAAGATCCCACGTCATATCAGTCATCCACTCAGGCAGCCACTCAGCTAGCCACTCAGTCTGATACTCTACAAGAGGAGGAGCAAGAGGAGGAACTACAACAGGCAAATGCGGAGAACACTGCGGAGAAATTAAGCGGCAACAAGGCCCCCAGCACCAAGAACACGGCTCAGCTCTCCAAGATCCCACGTCATATGCTCTCCACGGTTCCACATCAAATCATCACTCAGCAAGCGGAGAACACCACTGCAACTTAGCCTGTCATCCCCACTGCATTAAGGAGTAAGAGGAGGAACTACAACAGGCAAATGCGGAGAACACTGCGGAGAACACTATGGAGAACACTGCGGAGAAACCAAGCGGCAACAAGGCCCCCAGCACCAAGAACACGGCTCAGCTCTCCAAGATCCCACGTCATATGCTCTCCACGGTTCCACATCAAATCATCACTCAGCAAGCGGAGAACACCACTACAACTTGGCCTGTCATCCCCACTGCATTAATATGGTACATCACTGCAATAACGTCACAAGAGGAGGATCTACTGCGACGATCACAGCCAATTGGGCCTCTGCAGGAGGAACATCGAACGATGCATATTTGGACGAATTGAAACCGTCCGATGTCTACAGCTATTTCATTATTCGAAAGATTTCACTGCGGCAGGAGATATTGTGGGATTCACACCACTAATTGGCACGTTGTCTCCATTTCTTTCCGGTATTTCGCTCACAAGAGGAGGATCTACTGCGACGATCACAGCCAATTGGGCCTCTGCAGGAGGAACATCGGACGATGCATATTTGGACGAATTGAAACCGTCCGATGTCTACAGCTATTTCATTATTCGAAAGATTTCACTGCGGCAGGAGATATTGTGGGATTCACACCACTAATTGGCACGTTGTCTCCATTTCTTTCCGGTATTTCGATACTTCTTGCCATAAGGACATGGCCTTTCTCTGTTTTTTGTAGGCAATTATTACACCTTCCTAATTAGGCCTTAGCGCGCCTCTCTCCGCACATATGTGCCTGTATACTACATAGATTAAATCAATTTTGTAGTGGTGGAAGTAGGTCAAAAACGCACAGCAAGCGATCAGAGTTCGATTTGACTTAGGGCTAGGGCTAAAATTCGATTTGACTTAGAAAAATCCAACTCCATGAATTTAATTCATGGGCCTTTACTTGTACTTTAATAATAGTATATAGATTAGTTAGATCATACTCTTAAAGAAAGTTCGCCTCGATATCGCCGCGATAGCTTTACACGGTTCTATTATTACTTAATCGATTTAGCTCTCGAGTATTATTAATTAAATAGAACTATAATTTCTATAATTCTATAATTTCTACGACTTCTACTTAGTAGAGAAAATATCTAGAAAATATTAAATATTATTAAGCTTTATACTATATTAATATATAATATATATCTAAAATAAATATTAAGAGTAAGAAATTTAACTCTTTAGTCGAATTATCTAATACTATAACTCTATATTAACTAGAGAATATATTATCTAAAAAAGTCGAATTAATAAATATTAATAAGAGATTTAAATAATTCGTTCTTTAAAGAATATAAGAGTATAATAAAAATAAATGGAACGCTCTCTCTAATATCTTTGCTAAGGAATTTCAATAATTCGCTAAAAAGGACTTTGAGACTCTTTCTAAAAAGACTTTCTATAACTTACGAAACTGCCTATAAGCTAATAGAGTCTATGTTAAGAAAGGACGAGAGGTTTTAATATTCGAATTATTGATTAATGTAATTTAAAAAGATATCTTATAATTATTAAATAACGAGAATCATTCTCTATTAAAGTAGTAATAATATTACTTCTCTTAGTAGTAAATAATTCAGCCGTAGTAGCCTTATCGACCGGAGAATACTATTTCTCTCCCGCCGTAATAGCCTTATTAGTAGTCTTATCGACCGGAGAATACTATTCCTCTCCCCCGTAACCGCCTTATTGATAGGAGAATCCTGCTCTAATTCTCTCGGCAACATCAATCTACGGCCTAAATTACTGAGCCCTACATCTACTACTCTTATCTTATTAAGTTATTTAAGACTTCGATATCGAATAAAACTATAATTATAGTAAGAAACTTATTACTCTAGTTAAATTATATATTATCGAGAAGAAGTATAATGAAAGTTCTATTAAGAGTCTTAGCTATAAATTTATAATTTTTATAAATTTTTATATAAGAGTTAAGATCTTCTAGTAGATTCTTTAAATAGTATTTTTAATTATATTAAAATCTATAGTATTAAAGTATTATTACTCTAGTTATTAAGAGATTAATCTTATTATTTAATAACTCTTCGATTAATTTTAAGACTATTTCGAGAGAGAAGAATATTATTATCTTATACTTTATAAGTAAAATAATATTAATCTAAAAGATTTACTTTAAGCTAATTCTAAAAAGAATAAAGAAATTATTTTCTATAAAATAATTTAAAAACTACGTTAGATTTAAAGAGGTTTAAATTACGAATTTTAATTAGATATAGTATTTCGAAATAAGATAATTATTTTTTATAGTAATATTTCTATATATAGTATTATAATTCTATAATAAACGACTATAGTTATCGAGTTAATTAATAATATTTATACTATAATTAAGAATTACGAAGAGACTATAAAGATTAAGAGATTTAAGTTATTTAGATCTATAATATACTTTATTAATCGAAAGTATTATATTAATTAATTTTTAAATTAGAGTAATTATAGTAGATCGTCTTTATAGATAAATAGCTTTTAGAAAAAGCGATACTTTATTTATAAGAAGATAGATTATTAATTAATTAAGTATATCGATAAAAAACGTTAGAAGTCTCGAAATAAATTCGCTAAGCGGTTTATTAGCTTTATTAATAAGCGATATAACTTTTATATTTAAGAGTTTAAAGATTAAAAGAATAAGATTAAGAATCTTAAGATCTTAACTCTCGATATTTAAGATACTAATTTAAAGAAGATCGAAAACTTTATTATGATTACTTCTATAATTATATCGAATTAAGCTTAAATATATTATTTAAAGCTTTTTAATTATTTTATATATTATAATATTATTAAGTCTAATAACTTTCTTAATATTAGTTAATATATCTTAAAATAGTTCTATAGTATTATACTAGATATCGAAGTTATATATATATTTATTACTAGATATAATTAAGTAAAAACTTATATAAGAAAATTCGATATATAACTAGATATTATTATTAATAGTATTATTATCTAATTTAAAATTAGAATAGTAGCGTTAATTAAAAAACTTATAGTAAATTTATTTATTAGCCGAGTCGACTTCCACGTAATATAGATCGATATCTTATTTTTACTATATATCAGTATATATAATAGAATAAGGTAGGGCTGAACTAGAAAACCTTGAATTTGTATGTGTAGCCAATCATCAATTCGTCAGGTCTACGCTTTTTGGTTAGATACCACGGGTAAATAAATTAGCGTCCGCAACCATCAAAAATCTATGTGCAGAAGTCTTAACACTCTGAAATAACCAGCTCCCTAAGGATACTATTACTTTATAATTTCGTAAATTATAGAGCTCAGTTTGCGCTTTCTAACGATGTAAAAATTTTGAAGTTTGGCCTACTATTGGTGGGTTAAACTGACATTCAAATATTGTAGTCATACCAAACGCGTCCGGGATCGGATAATAATCCTTCCACCTGTTTGTGTAACCATTATTCTTTCACCACTCTACCAATTCTATCAATTCCATCAATATGAACACAATCGTCCTCGGTACCCCTCGCGGAAACGTTACTAACGCTTCAGGCATGTACACCCCTTTTGCCCGCCTCTTAGAGCCCCTACTGACGCCCCCAGGCTAGCTACTGCTGGCAATCGAGGCCGCAACCCAACAGCTGCCTACTACTACTCATAAACGCGTTGAAAGGCCCTCAAAAAGAGCCCGAACGGATTCACAGCCATCGTCCTCCCCTACATACTCCTCCCAAGCCAGCGATACTCGACCAGCCGCTCAGTCAACACTACCTACCCTATCAGCTCAGTAATCTACTTAGTTAGATCGTCAGCCAGTCACTCAGTTATCCACTCAGTCAGCCACTCAGCTAGCCACTCAGTCTGATACTCTACAAGAGGAGAAGCAAGAGGAGGAACTACAACAGGCAAATGCGGAGAACACTACGGAGAACACTACGGAGAACACTGCGGAGAAACCAAGCGGCGCAAGGCTACCATCGTCAGGAACACGGCTCAACTCTCCAAGATCCCACGTCATATGCTCTCCACGGTTCCACATCAAATCATCACTCAGCAAGCGGAGAACACCACTGCAACTTAGCCTGTCATCCCCACTACATTAAGGAGTAAGAGGAGGAACTACAACAGGCAAATGCGGAGAACACTGCGGAGAACACTATGGAGAACACTGCGGAGAAACCAAGCGGCAACAAGGCCCCCAGCACCAAGAACACGGCTCAGCTCTCCAAGATCCCACGTCATATGCTCTCCACGAGAACACTGCGGAGAAACCAAGCGGCAACAAGGCCCCCAGCACCAAGAACACGGCTCAGCTCTCCAAGATCCCACGTCATATGCTCTCCACGAGAACACTGCGGAGAAACCAAGCGGCAACAAGGCCCCCAGCACCAAGAACACGGCTCAGCTCTCCAAGATCCCACGTCATATGCTCTCCACGGTTCCACATCAAATCATCACTCAGCAAGCGGAGAACACCACTGCAACTTAGCCTGTCATCCCCACTACATTGATATGGTATATCACTGCAATAACGTCACAAGAGGAGGATCTACTGCGACGATTACAGCCAATTAGGCCTCTATAGGAGGAACATCAAACGATGCATATTTGGACGAATTGAAACCGTCCGATGTCTACAGCTATTTCATTATTCGAAAAATTTCACTACGGCAGGAGATATTGCGGGATTCACACCACTAATTGGCACGTTGTCTCCATTTCTTTCCGGTATTTCGATACTTCTTACCATAAGGACATGGCCTTTCTCTGTTTTTTGTAGGCAATTATTACGAATCAATACTCGATACACCTTCCTAATTAGGCCTTAGCGCGCCTCTCTCCGCACATATATGCCTGTATATCACATAGATTGAATTAATTTTGTAGTGGTGGAAGTAGGTCAAAAACGGACAGCAAGCGATTAGAGTTCGATTTGACTTAGAAAAATTCAACTCCATGAATTTAATTCATGGGCCTTTACTTGTTCAAGATATGAATAAATTAGAAATCTATTTAAATAATCTTAAGAACTAAGTTATTTTAAGAAATAAATCTATAATCTTAATTATTCGCTTTTATAAATATTTATTCTTAATATAGAATTCTATATTAGTTAACTATCTAATTAATATCGAGTTATATTAACTATATTATTAATTTAATTATCTCTTAATTAATAGACTTATCTAAATCTTAAAGAAAACTAGCTATAATAACTTCGAATATCGTTATATACTTAAACGAATTATCGAGTTCTATATACTCTATTAAAAGTACTTTTAATTCTTAAATTATTTTAAATTCTTACTTAAGAATAAGAATAATACTTATT